ATGGTGCCAACTTGAGCCAGTGAAGCAATGTCCTCCACAACTAGACTGAAGAACAAAAGGATAGCAACTTGTCTGTTCCTCTTCCCCCAATTCCCCAATAAAAATCTTTAAAAAAAACATAATAATAAAGAAATAAATCTTAAGTTTTAAATCATACACCATTCTGAGGAGCATGATGAAATAAATCTTGTGCCGTGCCATTTTGTCCTGTCCAGGATGTGAATTATCTATCCCTTTGTCCAGCATATCCACAGTGTATATGCCCTCCCATTAGTCATTTCGTAGCCATCTCAGTTATCAGACTCCTGTGGTATCACAGAGCTTATTTATGTTCAAATAACCCTTATTTATTTAACAATGGCCCCAGAGCGCAAGAGCAGTGATGCTGGCAATTCGAATATGCCAAAGAGAAGCTGTAAAGTGCTTCCTGTAAGTGAAAAGGTATGTATAGACCTAGAAAAAAACCATAGTACATATTGGGTTCAGTACAATCTATAGTTTCAGGCATCCACTGGGGGTCTTGGAACACATCCCCTGTGGATAAGTGGGGACTACTGTATTCAAAAGCATAATGAAGTAGATCTGTATATACTATCACGGAATAATATCCACAACATACAAATATATATTATGTAAAGTGTTTGGATTTTCCCAGCTTACACTTTTTAAAAAACAAACATGTAGGGCCAGCTGAGTGGCTCAGTTGGTTAAGAGCTCACTCAAGAGTTTGAGCTCTGAGCAACAGCGGTTCAATTCCCAGCCTGAGTTGAGCTGCCAACCGGTGGCAGGATGGCTCAGCTTAAAAAAAAAAAAAAGAAAAGAAAAAAGAAAAACAAACATGTATTACTTTTGAAATTAACAAAATAATAATAAACTTTAAGAATATAAGAAGAATTGTCTTCCATACTGTGTGCAGCTGCTGGCGTGATCTCTGCCTTCGCCACAAGACCAAATGGAAAAAGGTTTCAGCTCCTGCTAGCTGCTCCTTTCAGGAGACTTGTCAAAATGATTGACTCCCACCTTCCTGCAGGCACAAAGAAAATTAGAGGATCTACTCATCACTTTCAAATCTGCTAATTACAAAGTCAACTGTGTAATGCTTTAAGGTGCTCCATCTATTAATTTTGATTTTTTTTTTAAACACTAGAAAGTTGGATTTTGAGTCAAGAACATCAAAGAAAAACCTTCAGAGGAAAAATTATGCAACTAAGGGGAACTAGTTTTGTTGCAACAATTTGTACTTTCTTAAGAATATCATTTGCTCTAGTAGGATGAATACTGGCTTGGGAGTCCAAAGACCTGACGTGGGTTGTAGACCTGGTTCTGTCACTAACCAGCTATGATAATTTGGGAAAGCCACTTAACCATTTGGACTTGTTTCCTCATTTATAAAATGGGGAAAAGGGATAAAAAAGGGGGATTAGGCGATGTCTAAGATTCCACCAAGATCTAAAAGTTAATCATGACCACACATACAAAAGTCTCATTTTCAATACATATATAAATGTAAAGAACAGGTCTGGAAAAATACAAACACAAAATTAATGACTGCTATCATCACAGAGTTAAGCTAGATAACATGTCTCTATATGATTTTTAAAAAATAAAGATATCGTTTCCACCCTCAAGGAATGTATAATCTTGCTAGGGAGACAACATTTAAAGTTATACACCAATATGAGAAAATATAAAATGGAATGGACAAGACAGCACTAGAGAAAGTTGGAAGGAAAGGGAAGGGATTACAGAATTTTGGAATTAAAAGGGACCTATGTAATACACAGCATGGTGACTATAGTTAACAATACGGTATTTTATACTTGCAAGTTGCTAAGAGAATAAACCTTAAAAGTTCTCATCACAAGAAAAATTATAACTGAGGTGATGTATGTTAACTAAACTTATTGTGGTAATCTATCGTAATACGTACATATATCAAATCATTATGTTGTACACCTTAAACTAATACAATGTTATGTGTTAATTGTATCTCAATAAAATTGAGGGGGGAACTAAATAAAAGAAAAAAAGAAGGGACCTAGTTAAACTTACTCATCTTAGTCATGAGGTGGGACAAAAAAGGAAAAAATATGAAGTACCTATTATAAATCAGGCACTGAGACATTTTACAAATCCTTAATTTAACCCCTTAATTCTGTAACATAGATCTCATCAAAGAAATAAAGTTTCTGTTGTACTTAAACTTAGAGCTGCTAAGACTTTTTCTCTTATTTTACCAGCAGTTGTGTGAATTTCAGGCACTGAAGCAGGTGCCTTTATGAAAAGTAATTTCTCTGTCCGGTGACTGAGTTATTTTGCACAGTGAAGTTATTTCTTTAGGTGGCAGTAAGAAAAAAATTTACTTTTAGAAAAAATTTTAAAGTTTGTGGTTGTCAAGTGTTAAGTTTCACAGGCACTAGGGTTAAGCAGCTACATTTCTGAGAAGCCTTTTTTGAGTCACTACCCCCATTCTCACTCCAACTCCTTCCAAAAGGTCTAGTTCAAGCATTTGCTTAACCAAATGAAGAGTTCAACAGATTTTCATTCTTGGGAAAGTAAACTTCAGAGGCATAAAGTAACTTAGCTAAGTACACAGAACTAATAATGCTAATTCTAATAATGCTAATAATAATTCCAAGGGCTTTCTACCACCCTCGAGATAGACTTGCCCAGGGGGTCAATCAGCAAATGGCACAGCCTTCTAAATGCACTACACTCGAATATACATGAAAGATGTGGACACCGATGAGGGTTTTTGGTGCCTTAGCAAAAATAATTTAAGGCACCTTATCATGCAAAGTCTTCTCTTGACTTTCCAGATAGAATGGAAGAACATGAGAAATACCCCTTAATGTGACCAAACCTCACTGGAAGAAAGACATCATTACTGCACACACAGGACCAATCAATCAATATTTCTCACCAACACCGAAAGCATCAATTCCTATGCCACACAACATCCAAAGGCACAGAGCGGGCCCTTTTGAGCGTCTCTCATAGAATGTTTCAATAGGTCTGAGAGCAAAAGCATACAAAATAATACCATATACATATAATTTTAACTTGCTCAAATCATTCTCTTTATAATTTCCTCATTAAAAAAAATACTGATAATTAAAAACCTCTACAAAAATAACATAACAGCATAATGAACCCCCACATACCCAACACCCAGCCCCAGCAACTATTAACCCATAGCTAATCCTGCCCCATCCATCTCTCCCCTTTACCGGACTATTTTGAAGCAAATCCCAGGCATCACATCAGTTCATCTGTAAATAACAAGAATTCGTTATCATAAAATATCCAATTCAGATTTCCACTTATTTTATAAATGTCATATTTTTTTTAAGATCTAAAAAAAAAAAATCAGTATCCAAGTAAGGACCATCCATACATTGCAACTGGTTGATATGTCTTGTATTTTAATGCATAGATTTTTCATTTTTGCAATTTATTTGTTAAAGAAACAATACCATAAATTATGTATGGATAGATACATATAGCATTAAATTATAAAAATATGCATGGAAATAAGAAACACCAAGTTCAGGATAGCGGTTACCTCTGGCTGTGGGGAGGAAAGAGGAATAGCAAGGGGGCATAAAAGCTTCAATTCTATCTGTAATGTTTTATTTCTCAAAAAAAAGAAAAAAACAAGACCTAAAACAAATATAGTTAACATTAAGATAAAGCTGAATGGTGGGTAGGATAATATTCATTACTATGTTATTTCTTATAATTTTTACATGCTTGAAATATTTTAAAAACATTTTTTAAATTAAAAGTCAGTGGAGAAAGATAACAATGATTACATTCTGAAGTTTCAAATGTCCTCCCCTATTAAATAGGGACCATCATACCAACCTCACAGGGTATTTGGAAGAATTACTGTAAATGAGATCATGAACATAAAGCACTTAACATGCTACAGACACCAGGTAAACGCTAAATAAGTAGTGGCTATAGTTATTATTTCACCCCACCTTCATCACCTCCCTGATGCCTGAAGAGTATTAAGAGAAGCACAGGAATGGTAGGAAAAAGAGTGAACTGGTAAGGGACGTCCCCTAGTCCTTGCTTGTTAAGAAATTATCTGGTATGCTCTAATCTCTTCTAGTTTAACCCAACAATCAACCATACTGTCACTAAATTAAAGACCAGGCTCTATGGATATCTGAAATATTGGGCAAATTCTGCAAATTAATGGTCACTGAAATATCTTATATAAAGAAATTAAACTAACAGAGACCTCAGAATCTCAAAACAGATGACAACACTCATCTGAAAAGTGGGGAATTATTCAGTGTTAACTTCAAACACAGGTTATCATGAAGATCGCATGAGGGCATGTTTATGAAAGCACTCTAAACCTAAAAGCCCTATACTAACGAAAGTTGGTATTTAATGAATTTACAAAAATCTCAGATAAAATTTAAGTTCTCAAGTGAAGTTCCACAAAATAGCCTTAGTACTTCCATCCCCCATTCTACCATCACCTGCTGTTTTGGGCACTTGCTTTGTAACCTCCACCTAAAATATGAGGATCTCTTTATTTTTAAGGGGAGGATATTTTTTCCCATCACCCAAGTCTCTCTTAATTCCTCTGCTCCCCATCCCTTCTGTGACCCTATTCTGTCTCTCACCTGTCCACCCCCTTCTTCACACTTCAGTTTACCACACCACGCCCTTGCTCTGTTCTCCCACCTTCTGGTTTCAACCTCAGAAACTAGTTCCCTTTCTATTTTTATCACACCTAAGAAGCCTATTGCCTTAGAGCACAAAGCTTTGTTTTATTCAGGCCCCTAAAATTGCAACAGTAGACACAACCTCATATCCCTCTTTCAGGGCTCTAAAGCCAAGACCATTACCATGGGGGATCTGATAGGCATGGCCAAGGGCAAGGATTTTTTCTAAGGGGCAGAACTTCCCCCACTGGACTTTGATTTTCCAACCTTTCCTACATGCAACCTGTGAGGCAGACTGCACAAAAGCCACTCAGTAGGGCTTAATATTCCATAAAAGGGGTGTAATGTTTAAACAAAATCAAAGTGAACTGAAATTATCTGTAAGAATTGTGCAACTCCCTTTGAGGTAACTGGAAACGCTGTAGAACAGAAAAACAACCCAGGGCAGGAAATCTCTGCTTTAAGTAACATTCCACCAGATAAGGGCCCCAGGACTCTCCTCCCACATGGGCATAGGAGACCAAATATTACTAAGCTGCAGCAACAGGTTCCTTTTTAAAAAGAAAAAAAATTTTAAATAATGTATACAGGTTTGCTAAAGCTTGGAACCTCTAACACATCTACAAGAAACGGAAGATCAGGTGGGGGGCAGCAGGTGGGCAATTCAATCACTTCTTGGCCCGCCAAGTGCCCGTGAAGAACTGGTGGTGTCTCCAGTTTGAGAGCCAGGAGGATGGGTGGCCCAAATCCACCCTTCGGAGGATGCCGCTCAACCTCCCCCTGCACTCCTTTCGAAACGCAATCGCCGCCAGCACACCATCGCCCCGAGATAGGGCCTTCGCACTTCCCTCTTCCCTCCAGCGAAAGAATCAAGAATTCCCGCCTCCCCGCGGAAGGCGGGAGAAGCACTGGCTTGATCCCCGCCCCTCCCCCAGTAGGGGCAAAACTGCCCGTCGGCAGGCCCGTGGGCACCCCTCTTCCTTAGGATGGCTACCCACACCGCAGCCGGACCAAGGCCCCCCACTCTCCGAGGGGCGGGTCATCCTCTCTTTCCCCCAGCCGTGGCGGAAAAACCGCGGGCTCCTCCCTGCTACACCCTCCCCCAGTGGGGCCGGGAGCAGCGGCGTCGCCCACCCACCTACACAGCCATTTCCCCACACCCACACGCACACGCACACGGGGCAAGAAGAACCGACGTCGTTCTTAGCCTCTCAGGACGCCGAACAGCCTCCCTTTTCCTCAGCAGGCTGAGGGGCACCTATTGCCCGCCGACGTGGAGGTGGGGGCAGGGACACTCTCCCCCCCTCCCGCCACCATCACCTCAGGAACGAAAAACGAGCCCTTCTCCCAGCAGGGCGAGGGCCTCTCGACCCCTCAACGGGGCGGACTGCGTTCGCGGCCCCCTGAAGAAGCAACAGGCGACCCCATCCTCCTCCCAGGCGGGGAACGCCGACCCCCTCGACCCTCCCGCTCTTCACCTCCGAAGCCGGACCGAGGCCTGGGCGAAAGACTGCGCCTCACTCCGCCCCCTGCGCCATTTTATCGCCCCCCTGCTCGACCTCCCCCACCCCGAGGCAGCCGGACCAGCACCAGGGGTAGGGCAAAGAAGCAGTGATTGGCAGCAAACCGTCCCGCCTCCCAGAGGGTGGTGCCCCGCACAGGCGCTGCAACTCCGCCCTCCGCACCGCCTACCCCGACTACTGGCTCCACCCCTTCTCGTCTCATCGAACCGCTCGACTCTCTGTTGCTCCTGACTCCCGACCACTGCCAGGCGGAGAAAGGTCCAGGCCGAGCAAGCCGAGTGACGAGCTCAGCTGATGCAACCTGACTGGACCCGCATTACTGTTCACGGCACGCGGCTGCGGCGACGCAGGAAGGGACGCGGGTGCCGGACTGATCACGGGAGACAGGGGCGACGGAGCCATGGGGGACGCTCCAAGCCCACAAGAGAAGCTGCACCTTATTACCCGGAACCTGCAGGTCGGTCCTTGGAGTTGGAAATGCGCTGTTGGGGACTTGGGGCCCGGGGTTCAGTGATCCTGAGTCCCACTACGGGATCCTAAGTGTGTGGGGCCGGGGACTCCGTGCCGAGGCAGCTCTGAGAGAGCCTGCAGTTCTCACAACTGGTCGGTCAGTCAGTCAGTCAAGCAGCAATTAGCTGGGTAATGCAGACATCACAGTGTGCTTACCTGTGTTGAGCCAGGCTTTAAAATGAGGACTTCCACTCAGTCCACCGTATTATGTGCCAGTGTCGCGAGCGAATGCTGAGCTTACGGTCTGCCAGTGCAGCCTTTTCCTGCAAACCAGTGGGATTTCCCCAAGGGACCCTGACGGCCTTGGGTAGCTTCCGACAACCGTTCAGCTATCTTTGGCCTACACAGAAGCGGTCCCTGCAGCCGTCGATGGCCCAAGCGAGAGGCAAGGGCAAGTACACAGATAAGATGCTCTCACACTCTTTAATCACACAGTTCAATATAGGGTACAAGCAGCATTCCAATCCCAACTACAGTACACAGTAGTAAATTTAGGATTACAAACGAATCCCAAAGTAAATTAGAGCGCGTGGACCACCTGTCCTGGGGCACGGCGGCTGGTCCAGGAGGTAGGTCTGGAGAGGATCCAGTCCGGTTGGGGAGCGAGGTTGGAGCTCAGAGGCTCACGGAGCAGCGTAGTCCGCTCTCAAGGGAGACCGTCTTTCCAGGGTCCCGAAGTCCTGGGTTCTTAAAGACTTCAAGTCCTGGTGTAACTGGGTGACGCCCTTCCATCAGTCCTTACAGCTGGTGTCTCCGCTATCTGGTACTTGTTTACTTGTACAAACAAGCTGTTTACTTCATAGGGCATTCCCTTGGCACTCAGTGTCCAAGATGGAGTCACTCTTGCTCATACAAAATGGAGTTACTCTTGCTCACACAAATACCTTATTTTAGGTGCTCTACACAGCTAGGTGTGGTGCTAGGCACTAGGGTACATCTGGACCCTGCCCTCGCAGAGCTTGTCTGAAGGAAATCAGACATTAAAAATGACCTGTAATCCAAACAATTATAGTTGAAGCAAGTACTGGAAGTTACTATACTTGGAACTTTGAAAGGAAATTAGGGGAGAGGGCTGGGGGTAGTGTCAGGGAAGTCTGAGGAAGTAACCTCTAAACTGCACCGTGAAGGATGCAAGTCACCTCTTCACTCCACATATATTCCTGCTGTTCCCGGGAACAGCAGGAATAGAAGTTAATGAGGAAGAATGGAGGGTGAGAAGGGGCCATTTCAGGTAGAAGGAACCCAGTTCAGGACCCAAAAGGGAGAAAGAACACTGGTTCAGAGAAAAGGCTAATTTGGCAGGAGTAGATTGAGCAAAGTGCAGATCAAGCACTTAATAAATATTTATATTGCTCATTCCCTTGCCTCCTTCAGGCCTCTGACTGTTGTCAAATTATTAGGAAGGCCTTTCCTGGACGATTTTGTTATTGTTTCTTCATAGAACTTATCACAGTCTGACATACTGTACATTTTACTTGTTTGTTTAGAAAGGGTAGCAGGGACCAGGTCATGAGGGCCTTGTAGGCTATGTTTAAAATTGGGTTTTTATTCTAAGAGCAGTGATACATCGGTTGGGCCACAGTGTTGTGTTTTGTTTTTCTCTTTTTTTTTTGAGATACAATTCACATACCATAAAATTCACCCTTTTTTTTTTAAGATTTTATTGGAGAATTGGGGAAGAGGAACATTGTGTTTTTCCAGGACCCATCAGCTCCAAGTCAAGTTGTTGTCCTTCAATCTTAGTTGTGGTGGGTGTAAGCTTAGCTCCAAGTCCAGTCACCGCTTTCAATCTAGTTGTGGGGGATTGGGGGGCAGGCATAGTTCACCATCCCATGCAGCAACTTTGTTGCACACTGAGCCATCCAGCTGCCCATTGGCAGCTTGCAGCTGCTCAGCTCAAGGTGCCGTGTACAATCTTAGTTGCGGGGACGGGGGNTTCTTTCTTTTTTTTTAAGATTTTTATTGGGGAATTGGGGGAAGGGGAAAAGACAAGTTGCTATCCTTTTGTTCTTCAGTCTAGTTGTGGAGGATACAGCCCACCATCTCGTGGGGGAGTTGAACCGACAACCTTATCGTTAAGAGCATGTGCTGTCACCAGTTCAGTGGAAGCTCACCTCAGGCGCAGCTCACTGGCCCATGTGGGAATCAAACCGTCAACCCTGTTGCTCAGAGCTTGTGCTCTAACCAACTGAGCCCCTCCGCCGGCCCAAAATACACCCTTTTAAAGTGTACAATTCAGTGGGTTTTATTGTAGTTGCAAGGTTGTACAACTATCACCATTATTTAGTTCCAGAACATTTTCATCACTCCACAAAAAACCTATACCCATTAAAAATCACTGACCATTCCTCCCCTCCCCCCGGTCCTAGGGAAACACTAATCTACTTTCTGTCTCTATGAATTTGCCTAGTCTGGACATTCATTTAAATAGAATCATACAAAATGTGGCCTTTTGTGTCTTACACTTAACATAATTTTTTCAGGGTTCGTCAATGTTGTATTTAACAGAACGTCATTCCTTTTTATGGCTGAATAATATTCCATTATTCAGTTGATGGGCATTTGGGTTATTTCCACTCACAACTTGATCCTAACTAGAGATTCTTGCGTGCTTCCTCTGAACCAGATCCCTTTATTTCTTAGCCTCTCTCCATAAAATAGTGCTGGTTGGGGACAAAGCTAATGGCATTGACTTGCTCAGGTTTTAAAGCATAAGGGATATGACCTTTCCTTGGGTGGTGAGAACCCTCCAAGTTTCTAAATAGTCGGGGGCTTGGAGGATGCAGGATCAGCCTCCAACCAGCTTGAAACAGGATTTTAACAAGTGCTACTAATAGACAATTCAAACCAGCAAAACAATTTTTGTCTTCATGGGTTCCAAAGCCTCCCCAACCATCACTTGAAGAAACACTAAAATCTCTTTTTGTCTGCAGTATACTGGCCTATTAGGATTTTTCCAATATGTCTTAGGGAAAAAGGAAATTATTAAAGTATTTAAACAGGCAAATGAGTTATCAAATTTTGGGTTTTGAAGATCTCTCTAGCTGTCTTTTGGAACATGGATTGGAGAGAACAAGATATGGGAGACCTATTAGGAGGCTTCTACAGTAATCTTGGTGTAATCTGATGTTGGCATAGACTACGATGGTTGTATAGAGGCAGAGACAAGTAACAGGGTTCAGTAGCTGTTTCAGAATAACATGCAATTTGGTGAATGATAGCACCATTTACTGAAGTAAGAGTGAAACTAGACGTGAAAAAGATGGTTGGGGAGTGAGGTAGAAAGGTGAGAACATGAGTTTAATTTTGAACACGTTGAGTTTGAATTAACTGGGTTGATAACAAGGATACGGTTCTATATGTGGGTGTGAGCAGAAGATTTGGGAGTCTCGTAAATAGTAATTGAAGCAACTGAAGGGGATCAGGGAGAATGTAGAGTGAGACGAGATAGGGCCGCAAGGATTGCTAATGTTTAATGATTAGGAAGAAGAATAGATGCAAAAACATCTGAGACCTAGCAGCCAAAGAAGTAGGAGGAAAACTAAGAGCATAAAAAATAGAGGAGACCAAAAGCGGAGAGTGTTCAGGAAGAGTGTGAGAACTAAAAAGTATTCATTGAATTTAGCAACGTGGAGACCATCTGTGATCTTAGCAAGAGCATTTTCAGTGGTGTGATGGTGTATGGAATTCAGACTGGAGTGGAAGATAAGGAATGGAGACCAGAAGAGACAACTATTTCAAGAAGTTGGCTATGAAAAGAAGGCACATGAGTTAGAGGTAGTTGAAGGGGAAGATGCGATTAGGGACATGCCCCATTCCTCTAACATCAGTGTCATTCCACTGGAGTGGTACTAGCAATGGCACCAACTTAGGCTGGCTCTCATTCTGCACTGACGGCATGGCTGGACCACGCTGCTGGCTCTGAGCCTGGACACCACCCCCCCCCAGTGACACATGCCTTTGTTTTCCTTGTCACAGGGTAAAGGATGAGCAAGGTGGGGCACCAGCATTAAACCAGCTCTTCTGCTTCCACAACAGGAGGTACTGGGGGAAGAGAAGCTGAAGGAGATACTGAAGGAGCGGGAACTTAAAATTTACTGGGGAACAGCAACCACCGGCAAGCCGCATGTGGCTTATTTCGTGCCTATGTCTAAGATCGCGGACTTCCTGAAAGCAGGATGTGAGGTAAGAAGTAATGTTATAAACCAAGCAGTTGCCCTTGGGGAATGGCCAAAAGAGAGACTTCACAAGGGCAGGGCAGGGAAGAGGGGTTTGCAGGTACTTAGACAAATTCACATTTGGTGGCCGCCTATCTCTTATGTCTAGGTGACAATTCTGTTTGCGGACCTTCACGCGTATCTGGATAACATGAAAGCCCCATGGGAACTTCTAGAACTCCGAACCAGTTACTATGAGAATGTGATCAAGGCAATGCTGGAGAGCATTGGTGTGCCCTTGGAGAAGCTCAAGTTCATCAAAGGCACTGATTACCAGCTCAGCAAGTAAGTGCTTGTTCATCTACCCTCCTTGT